TACCATGCCAGGCAGGTCGATTGGCGAACGGTAAGACTAAAAGCAGCAACTCAAGGTCTGAGGGCGAAGTCGTACTGCTGACTGTAGAGAGGTGTGACAGCAGTAAGGTGTTTCCCTCGGACAACCAGCATGACAGCGATGCTGCCTTCCCACAAGGAGGGGTGGGGTTAGAAAAGGTCGACCCTAAAAATGCACACCTCACCTTACCTCACGGATTTCCGTCTCCGGCGGTAAGGCCCTTTGAAGAACGGAGCTAACACGTCAAAAACCTTCCACAAAAAGGCCGTGCGCGACCGGCCTCAAGCAGTTGTCCCTTGGGCTCTGCGGTCACGCTCCCAGGTCGTCAAGACCAACACTAATCCAATTTCCTTTTCAGGTTCCTCAAGAAATACCCTTCCACGGTGTGGGCAGCCGAGAAGTGACATCAGCCCTCATACCCGTAACAGCACACGAGACCAAGGTGGTCACATTCAAATCCTTCCTACACCTCCTAATACCTCTCTTATCCTCCCGACTAACCCTCCTCACGTCTCTTTATCACCTCGCACCGCTAGGGCAAACGATTCGAGTACGTGGAACGCCATTCCTGGTCTCCTGAAACCACGCTCTAAACTACACGTAGGAGCTTTTAACGTACGAACACTTTGTCAAATAGGACAGCAGGCTTCCTTAGCTAAAACTTTAGAATCTCGCGCCATCGATGTGTGCTGCGTCTCCGAAACGCGCATACAGGATCCAAGTAGTGTCATTCATTTGACCTCACCATGCCAAAATAAAGAACCGACTCGATTTACGCTTCGTGTATCTGGAAGCCCTGATTCTGCTTCCCGTGGCCTCGCCGGCGTAGGTATAGCATTGAGTCCTAGGGCAGAACTAGCTCTCTTAGAGTGGATCCCAGTAGACAGTCGTTTGTGCGCTGTCCGACTGAACGGAACAGTAAGAATCCGGAAAGATAGGGACACCCGTCGTTGCCTCTTCGTCGTCTCTGCCTATTCTCCCACTGACTGCAGCTCAGATGATGTAAAAGATAAGTTTTACAGAAAGCTTTCGGACCTTCTCCGAAAAGCTAAGCGCTCGGATGTAGTAATAGTGGCCGGTGACTTTAATGCTCAAGTAGGTAAACTAAGCGATAAGGAAAGACACCTAGGTGGATCTTATGGTGTCGTGGCTCAAAGAACAGATAATGGCGACCGTCTGTTGCAGCTATGCTCAGATAACCGCCTGTTCCTTGCAAATACTAACTTTAAGCATAAGGAAAAACATCTTTTAACATGGCGACCCCCTAATTCGTCCCAACGTTGGACCCAAATAGATCACATCGCTATCAGCCACCGATGGAGGGGCTCGATAGAAGACTGTCGCTCATTCTGGAGCACATGCCTAGATTCAGATCATGCTCTAGTGCGAGCGCGTATTTGCTTGCGTCTTACTGGACGTAGGAAAGATCCTGCAAGGAAACCTCTTAGGGCCTACTTAATGATAGTCAAGCTAAGAATATATTTCAGGAACAACTAGGAAAACAGTTAGGCAGCCATGTATGTGATGCCCACCCCGAGGCAGCATGGAACGATATCCGAAAAGCTGTGGAAACAGCAGTGATATCTGCTAGTAAGGTAAACCGTAAAGTTAGGGAGCAACACTGGATCTCAGCAGCATCTATCGCACTGATAGATGCTCGAAAACTCATTCCACCTGGCTCTGAACGTAATGAAGAGCGGAGTCAGCTTAAGCGCAAGCTGACAAGAAGTCTACGCAATGATCGCGAACAGTGGTGGGTAGCGAAAGCAAGAGAGATGGAAAAGGCAGCGGCAATAGGTAATAGCAGACAATTGTTTTGACTCGTTAAGGAAACCGGAATTAGGAACCCGACCGTTAGCGAAACAATCTCAGAGAAAGATGGACATATTATTCATTCTCAATCCAGGAGATTGGATCGATGGGCAGAACACTTTAGGGATCAGTTCAACTGGCCTTCAGCCACACTTCGGTTTCCCACGATCTCTAGTCAACCTGAATGGCAAGTTAATGTAAGTCCTCCGTCCCTTTACGAAGTTGAAAAAGCCATAGGAAATCTGAAACGAGGGAGAGCAGCAGGCCCTGACAGGTTTACTCCTGAGATTTTTAAGGATGGTGGTCCAGTATTAGCAATGAGATTAACTGAGGTCTTAGGTAGAATTTGGGAACTGGACGTAATCCCATCTGACTGGTCTCAATCACTGATTGTGCCAGTTTTTAAGAAAGGACAAAAGTCCTCTTGTGATAATCACAGAGGAATCAGTTTGACTAATATAGTGTCTAAAATATTAGCCTCAATAATACTTCGACGCCTAACTAAAGCTCGTGAAGAGCAGACTAGAGAAAACCAGGCTGGTTTTCGACCTGGACGTGGTTGTATCGATCAGATATTCACACTACGTCAGGTTCTAGAACAGAGACACACATTCAGACGCCCCACAATGGTAGTATTTCTCGACCTTAAGGCGGCATTCGACTCCGTTGATCGTGAGGTTCTATGGCAGTGTTTGTCACTGAAAGGAGTACCAAAGAAGTACATTAAACTTATAAAGGCTCTCTACTCGAACACAACTGGTAGAGTGAGAGCTTATGGCGAACTGTCATCAGAATTGATCACCTCAAGTGGTGTTCGTCAGGGCTGTCCACTCTCCCCATTCTTGTTCAACTTTGTCATTGACGTACTTTTAGAGATAACACTCTCCTCATCTAAATTTCCAGGGGTTGAACTTCTACCAGGAGGTTCACTTGTTGACTTAGAATATGCTGATGACATAGTTTTATTTGGTGAAGACGCTGACAAAATGCAGAGTCTTCTGGCCACTCTAAGCAACAATGCAAGCATGTTCGGGATGCGATTCTCTCCCTCGAAATGCAAAATGTTGCTTCAGGATTGGGTTACATCGACACCCGAACTAGTGATAGGGAGTGAAGTAGTTGAGTGTGTCGACCGCTTCACTTATCTTGGAAGTCTCATCAGCCCTTGTGGTTTGGTGTGTGACGAAATCTCAGCACGGATACAGAAGGCTCGACTAGCTTTTGCCAACTTGCGTCATTTATGGCGTAGGCGAGATATTCGTCTATCAACCAAAGGACGGGTTTACTGCGCAGCAGTTCGTTCCGTCCTACTTTATGGCAGTGAAACATGGCCGGTAAGAGTAGAGGATATCCGTAGGTTACTAGTATTTAATCATAGGTGTCTTCGAAACATTGCTCGTATATCATGGGACCATCGAGTAAGTAACACAGTTGTTAGGAAACGGGTACTAGGTAAGGATGGCAAATCAATTGATGAAGTAGTGAAACTTCATCAGTTGAGATGGCTGGGACACGTGTTACGTATGCCCTACGACCGACTGCCTCGACGTGCTATGTTCAGTGGTATAGGAGTAGGTTGGAAGAAAGCTAGGGGCGGCCAAACCAAAACATGGCACAAATCCATGAAGTCACTGACAAGTGGACTGAGTCATGTTGGTAGGTGTAGACTACCTGGTTGGGGACCGCGAGATGACAGCAACCGATGGTTAGAGACCCTGAATGACATGGCTCAAAATCGTTTGCAATGGCGCAGGTGCATCCACTCTCTGTGTTCTCCCAAACTCTAATCTTCTGAATTCTTCATGTCCCTTTTTTCCTCTTTCCAAATTTCTTTCACTGGATTATACTCTTTAAATAACATCTCCAAACCCTAATCTTCCCGATTACTGCTTATACTCTTATTACCTCTACCACTACCGGATTTGAATCGACAAGTGCATCTCTGTGCTAATGTGGTGTGGCAACTCGAACTGATGTACGTACGTACGAAGTTCTACGTTGTTACTGACTGACTGACTGATAAAAAATGAGTTGCGCCATCGCGAATACATTCCCAGATAAGACTATCCCCAGTCGGCATTCCGCTCTAAAATATCCAGTGAAACTTAGAAATCAAAACTTGAAATCGGAATTCGCAAGGTATAACCTTAATTAATTTAGCCCCTGCACCCCACAGTGGGTACTCACTCCGAAGACATCACCAACAAAATGATACGTCATACTGCACAAAAAGCCATAGCTATTGCTGTGGTCCTCTATAGTATTAAACGGTTAATGCTCAGCTGCATTAGGATGTCAGGATTCCAGTCTAAATGACATTCTAGTAAAGATGGTAACTTGTCGAATCTCAAAATCGTCCGAGTGAAATGTTTTTACTGGTGAGACACATACCACAGTTCCGCAGATGAACATAAATTAGTAAAGAGATCTGTGATAGAATAGCCACCACAAGTGAGGAAATAGCATTCAGACGTAGTTTAGCATGTTTAGCATCATGCAAAAGGCAAAGCCAAGAAGTAATTTTTCCTGTTAGTGAACAAGAAAAGGCTTTAAATTGTCCCTTTCAAATGGAATACTGTATCCATTGGCGTGTTGGTTACTCACTTCACGAGACACTGGTAGTAAATATGATCAAGCGTTATTTGCAAATTATTTACTTAGGCACTTCAGGAAGTTATTCACATTTAAGTGTATTAATCCTTAATATATATTGATGCATATATATGTATATATTATAATGGTGGAAGAATGCATCAGCAAACAATACTAATTTATGAATGATGGAATGATGAACAATCGTGAGTGAACTTAATGACTCAATAAGCTTATCAACGAAGAAATCTGAAACATAGCAGATGTCGCATAGACGACAATTAGATACGTTTGCAAGCCATCAATATGTTGAACTACATGGTCTAAAACTAAAACTGACATTCCATTTGAAATTTTGCAATAATTAATATTATTGAAAAAAAAGAAGATAACCCGGAAAGAAATTTATTATGACTGGTTTTCAGTTAAGCACTGACTTTAAAACAGCAAATTTTGCATGGAGTTTTGACACATAAAACAATAAACAAAACCTAGATCTTTTTTAGAAGAATTCGAGCCATCAAATTTTTTAATAATCATTATAGAATAAAAACGGAAATTATCCCTGATCAGCTCACTGATTTCTTTTGCTCATTGCAACCTTGAGAACAAGAAGCCCTCCGAAGCTGGTAGGTATTCGCTACATTTCCAACTGTTTAAATGATTGTTGCTCTAATAAAAGAAGTTTTCGCTCAACAGACTTCTATATCTAGTACCAGTGGACCATCGATAACTCCAGGTAGTTAACCTAGTATATTCAATACTTGAAAAATCTTCAAATGGTTCAAGTAGTTGTGGACTGATTAGAAGCTATCGCTTAATAGGCCTCCGTGTCTATTAGCAGGGGATCACCAAAACCTCCAGGCAGGAACCTAGGTATGTTAACAATGAAAGAGGAAAAAGAAATTGGTCAATCATTGTATGATACTATCCTTAATCCTTAAGAATAAACCAAGTTATCTCTTAAAGGACTCCTGGGAAGTCGCTTGGGCTAGTCCGGCTGGCAGCGAATTCCAGCATTTCACAACTCTTAAGGAGTGGAAGTTGTGTCCACAGTCCGTTCTGCCAAGTTTTATCTTCATTTTCTGGGTGTTATCCCTTAGGTTAGTGTTGGAACTAAGACTAAACAGGTGTTTAAGAGGATGTCCAGAAGTGTCAAGGATACTGTAAGCCATTAGAAGGTCACCTCTAAGACGCCTATACTCTAATAGGTAAAGGTTAAGTTATTGGAGGCGCTCTTCATAAGGTTGAATTTTGAGTTCTCGAACTGATTTCGTGACTCGCCGTTGGATACGCTCCAGAGTGTTCTTCTCCTCTTGCAGTGAGGGAGGAAATACTATGTTTACGTACTCTAAATGGGGACGGATGAAACTATCGAAGATTACATGGAATGTTCTTCTGTCAAACTGGCCAAAAATGCGCTTCAATGTTACCAGTGCAAGGTTTGCTCGGAAGTCATTTTTGTCACAGTTAGCGTAAGACTTTGAATCGTAGGAAACCAGGACTCCTAAATCTTTTTCGACTCGGGATACTACTAGAGAGGAGTTTCCCAAGTTGTAACTGTAGTCTGCGACATGTCACAGATGGACTACTTTACACTTTGAAGTGTTAAAGGTAAGTCCGTTATCGTCTGCCCAACTTTGAAGTCGCGTCAGATCCTCTTGAAGTGCCTGTATCTCGTCTTGGTTGCGTATCTCTCTCCAAAGCTTCACATCATCGGCAAAACGTAATACGTCTGACGTCACCTGTTGTGGAAGATCATCTATGTAGATCAATAAGAGGAGAGGTCCTGGTACTGAGCCCTGGGGGACCCCACTAGGACATTCCATAGCCTGAGATGAAGTGAAATTAAGCCTGACTTTAAAATGTCAATTTTTCAGGTATGAAGTGAGCCAATCGATTAGAGGTGGTCTGATACCTAATCGTTTGAGCTTATCGATAAGACATGTATGGTTAACCTTATCAAAAGCTTGTAGCGTGGCGTCGAGTTGAGATTAACTATGAACACCGCTACCAAGAAACACGTGCCAATTAGATCAGAAGGCGAAGGTTGAACGTTACCAAATAAATCCATAAAATCCCCGAGAAGTCAAATATCAGAAGACAGTTAATGGACCAAATCGAGATATATTCGCTGGCGATCTCGTGGCATCGAAAAGATACCGAGATCGTGCCAGGATAGAAGTTTGGTTACAGAACGTAACCGAATTCGCGCGAAGTTACAATCAAAGTGTAAGTAAAGGGATGGAAGCACAAAATAGCTGTCATTAGCACAGTCAAACAAAAGCACATTAAAATAAACACTGGTACAGTTGGTTATAAGAATAATTGTTTTTATTAAACCAGTCGTGTTCTCGTGATGAATGTGAGTCACTACAAGCTTTTGAGAAATCTATGTACATGATATCAACCTTGCCCTTGCGATCGAGGATGCCTGTCCATCTGTCCACCGCATTTATCAGGTTGGTCATACAAGAGCCACCCTTCCTGAAACTATTCTGTTGGGGTGAGAAGAAATTTAAGGACAGTAAATAGTCATATATACCATCGCATATCAGGGACTCCATGAATTTTGAAGGTATTGAGAGAAGAGCCACCGATCGGTAACTTAGAGGTTCGCTGCGTCGACCTCCTTTGAAAATTGGTGTAATGTGAACCAGCTTCCAATTTTCCGGTAGTTTTCCTCGACTTAGCGAGTGTGAGAAAATCACGCTAAGCGGCGTTGCCAAGACTGATGCTGCTTCCCTCAGTACGGCAGAATGGTCCATATCCGGGCCAGGAGAAGTGTCTATTCTTAAGGGCTGCAGTTCCCGGAACACCAAGTCAGCGCTCAGGTTCACTACGGAAAGTTCTTGGGAGTTGCAGATGAAGCTTTCTTCAGTTTAGTTGATATGGGTCAGTTGAAATGTCCGAGAGTATTGTTCAGCCAGAAGGTTAGTGGCGTCGCTGTCGTTGTTGGTCGGGCCGTTAGGACCCAACAGTTGGGAAACTCCAGTTTTGGCTTGACGAAGAGAGGCTGCATAACGTAATAAGCTTTTCGGATCCGAGACAAATTTATCCATAAGCTTTGTCTGGTACTGAAGCCTGTCCTCTCTTATAAACTTCGTGCATATGTTCCTTATATGTTTGTATTGCCTGCACACTCCGATGTCGTCAGTTCGTCTGTACTCTGTCCAACAATGCGTTTTGCGGCTGAGCAGGCGAAGACTGCGGTTCTTTATGATTGTGGGTTGCTGAGAGGTATGGGCGACCTTTTGAGGAACTGAATGATTTGTAGCTCATATGATGATTGAAATTTGACGGAAATAGTCCCTTTGATAATTTGCTCTCTATTTCTAGTCTAGTTGACCCTTTACTTTTGTATATAAATGTTCTTAGCGGGTGTATGTGTGATCAGATTGTTTGAAGTGTATTGCGCTATTACATTGCATATTTCTGATAATCTTATTTCACTAACGAAATATATGATTATCCCTTTCATAATCTTTTGAAAAACCAAGGTATATGACATCGAAGTACCTCCATCTACGCAGTACAATTGTGAAGCTCCGTGAAACCGTTCTGTTGGGGTGAAAGGAAGTTTGTGAATAGCAAGTAGTCACGTAGACCGTCGACTATTCAGAACCAAATAACATTCACAACTGATTGATCACTTAGTGTTGATCAGTGTCATGTGTGTCAAGTCCTTCTTGGTGCAGATCGAATGCTATCGACCACGTTGCAATGTGGCCACCAATCTAGGTGACCCGGCACTGCGTGCACCACGTTGAGATCAGATGGTGGTTGGAGGTAGTCATCAAGAAACCCTGAACCCGGGTTTCGTGCTACTTGGCACTCGTCAGAAAGGTGTACCTGTGGTCTTGAGGGAACTGGTGCTCCCTGACGGATTCGATTTCGTGCCACCTAGACTGGTGGCCACATTGCAACGTGGTCGATAGCATTTGATCTGCACGAAGAAGGACTTGACACACATGACCTTGATCACCACCAAGCGATCAGTAAATTGTGGTTCACTACTGAGAATCCTATGGAATCGCAAGTGAAGCTCTCATCGTTATAATTAGTATGGATCTATTGAGATGTCCGAAATCACTGTTCTGTCAGAAGTTTGGCAGAGAGGGTTTGTCGTTGTTAGATGGGCCATTCGAACCAAGCAGTTTGGGAACGTTGGTTTTTGCTTTGTCGACTGGAGGCTTATAGTATTCTAATTATCGTATGAATTAGGAATTCCAGGATTAACGCAATTGAATTAAGAAGACACAGGCACCAACGAATGTATTGTATTTAGAATTCGAAATCAAACATTCAACCAGTACAAAGGTATCATTAGTCCATTCAAACACCACATCCGCCACAGCTTAAATAGAAGTATAAGTGTTTGTAATCGGTTGTACGTCTTCTTGTTAAGTTCATCCTGAGTCTGTCCGACATTGCGTAAGATAAAAACTTTGTAGTATCTAGAAAGTGCTCATTAGTATTGGAATTACCAAACGAAATCGGAACGGACTCACCTGGAATTGTATACAACCACCATGTCGGTTTTGCACTGAAATCATTAATATCTCGAATTCAAACCATAGATTTTTCAACACTATCCTCCCCCACGAAATAATGTTGGATCTTTATATCCCCAAGTTATGAATAATGTGGCTTCATTTAAAACATATTTCTCACATAGTTTAGAGTAAACATTAGAACTGTTTTTGTGATAAGGGTAAACAGCAGTTGATATGAAACCATCCGAAATGTAATCAAACTCGAGGTCACTTAGTACTCGTGCTTCGCATTGAGCAGGTTTTTCACAAGGATCGAATGCATTATGAGGAGAGTTAATATATGATATGACATCAGGATTTGATTCTTCTGAAATATTCTCATGAAATTCATTAGGACAGTCATTGCAGAGCGTAGGATCGTTAGAAAAACCAGCATCTATCCAAACCACATCAGGTTTCCGATCATGATTAGGTTCATTTAACATATTTTCCTCAATATTGCAAGTAATTTCATTAGAAATATGTGAACCATTAGGAAAAGTCATACCTGGTACAATAGCATGAGAATTCTGATAAATCGGTTGATTAGGAACTGTTGTCTCACAAGAATTTTGGATTTCATCTAACTCTGAACTGTCTTTTGAAATCGTTGATAAAGATAAATGATCATTAGAAACATCTGAATTATTTAAATTTAAATTACAAGATTTAGCACAGCTTGAAGCAAAATGGACAATAGCTTTGCATACTGACTGAGTGTGTCCTACCTTACCACATTTAAAACATTCAGCATTACGAAATACACATGGATCGCGAGCATGAAACTTTCCACATGATAAACATTTACCAAACTTCATCTCACCTTTGTGATTTGCTTTGTAATTCCTCGTTGAAACACCTTTCGTATTTACACGAGAATAGGAATCACTGTTAAATGAACGCAAATTTGATTGACCCTGAGATTGTAGTTCATCACGACGACTAAGCAAAGTATCAGAAATCTTCATCGACTGGATATCAAGTTCATTCACTGCTTCGTAGTTAATACACGCAGTCCTAGCATCTTGAAAGGAACAGTTTGGCATTCTTAACAGCTCTCTTTCCAAACTCGGTATGTTAATTCCTGCAATTAATCGATCTCTCAGT